CGGATACAAGAAATCCGCGCGGAGCGTCGAACGTTTCTGTTTGCGTATAGTTTTTTCTTCGAGGAAGACAACAGAAGGGGTAGGAATGGCAAGGGAAACGAACGGGAAGAGACGGGTGAAGGGGGGAGACGGAAGAGGATGAGATGATGAGGAGGCGGAGAGGGGAACAGTAGGGATGGGATGGGGGGAGGCGGAGGCGGAGGGATCAGGAGGGAGAGGGAGGAGGGAAGAGGATGGGAGAAGAAGAAGCATGGTGACACTAATAATGCGAACAATAAGCAGAATAGGAGAAGGAGGAGGAAAGGTGGAGGAGGAAGAGGAGCAGGAGGAGTATGATTAAGAAGCAAAGCAACATGTAGGGAAGAATGAAAGCCTCTGTGAAGCTCCCGAACCAATTAGTTATAACGTCAAGATCGATCCGCCTGATTCTGTCTGTCGCATCTTCTGGCGCATCGTCATCACCTGCCGGGTCTCCGATTGCCTCCCTGGGCCGTCGCCGCAACGACTGGCGCAATGGTGCCAACACTATCGGTGAAGTCCCTCTGCCCTTGTTACCGTGCTTCTGTCTCGCTTCTTCGAGAAATGCTTGTCCTGCGCTTCATCTGATGCGGGGCGTTAGCGCATCATGTCTCGAGACATGTGCGCGGGCCAGGAACGGCCAAGGGCCGGTTTGGCAAAAAATGGGCCATGAATCTGGGAGATCTCACGGCCCCAGCCGTGAGTTCCACACGCTCCTGGTTCTGACCCCACCCTCTTGGACGCCCCTAGTTTTCGCGGCCTGCACACCAAAGAGCGGTCCCTGAGATCCGACGAAGCAACAGACATGAAACATCGTAAACAAAATCACGCCCGGAACTCTAGACTCCATCATTCTGCTTGATTTTTCAAGCCGGATCGATCTGTGATCCCAGGGCCCGAAACAGGGCGACAACGCCAAGCTCGAACACACTGAGACGCCAGGATCTCAGGGAACAGCGGTCCGAAAACCCACCGCCGCCGATGCATCGCCGATGCATTGCCGATGCACATCCGATGCACCAGCAATGCACATCCGATGCACCAGCGACGCATCGCCGATGCATCGGCGATGCATCGGCGATGCGTCGTCGATGCCCCGCCGCCGGGCGCGCCCCCGGGAGGCCCGCTGGAAGCCCCAGGGGTACCCCCGAGAGGCCCAGATCCTTCAGCACCTGCCTGTTTCAATTGTGGCTGCCTTCTCGCCGTGACGCTGGGGGATTTTCCACTGGCCCCACATCCTGCGGGCATTCCAGGCCTGGTGTAAAACAGGGCTAGGATCGGGATAAATCGCTCCAGAGCGTTCCGGAGCGCTCTCAGAGCGTTCCGGAACGCTCTGGAGCGGCCGCGGCGCCCAATACATCCTCCAAACCCGCCGATTCTCAGAGATTTCGAGTTATCCCGATCCGATTTTGTCCCGATCTTCGCGTCGTTTTATGGTGGTCCAAGCTTGCGGCCTCGGCCTGCGCCTTCACAGCTGGCTCTGCGGGGCCCCCGCTGTGGCGGCAGGCCTGCGCCCGCGGCAGCCTCCTCCACAGGCAGGCCGTCGAGAGGGCGGCCCACCGCCCACCTGCCCGCGCCTCTGGACAGAGCCGGGAGGAGGCGATGGCACGTTCCCCGCGAGAGAGAGGGGGGACGTTCATCTCGCCATCGCTCGGGCGTCCATTCCACATGCCCTTTTCGACGTCGTGCGTGTGTTTCTGCTCGATGGTCAGAGATGCTCATTGGTGGTCCTGGCCGAAGAAAAGGTGCACATGTCCGAGCGGTGCCAAGAAATGGGGAACGTTAATGGGGTGACCTGCTCTGGGGGGGAACATCGACCTTGAATCGGCGATACATCGACGGTAGATCGGCGATGGACCAATAATGAATATTCAGCGAAGCCGCGCATTCCTGGGCGGGGTGGGCTGTGGCTCCTTGCGGCGATGAGTGGGCGATTGGTGGTCGATGCATCCCACCTCAGCCTGTCTCCCCGTACTACTGCTCTGGAGCGCCCAGGCCCTCTTAGCGACTCCCGGTCACCGGGTCCGTCCTCCAGAAGGGCCTGAGCTCTGGCTACCATCGGGCCTTCTGCCCCATTTACAGGGTCCGTCCTCCGAAGGGTCTGGGCTCTGCCGCCAACGGGCCAACCGCATTGTGCGAGGCACTGAGGGCATTGAGCTTGTCCGGTCTGGCCTGTCCACGGGCCCAGCGAGCTCTCCCGCCGTACACAGCGTGCCCGAGGTTCCTGATGCGCTTGTCCTGCCTGGTGCGCATCGCGCGCGCGTGGGGCTGCACGCGGTGGCCGCTGTCCTCGTCATGGTCGCGCAGCATGGCCTGAGCGGCTGCGCCATTAGCCCCAACCTCCGCGCGCTGACTCCTCTGTGCGCGCAGGGCTTCGTGGCTAAGCCATGGAAGGAAATGCGTTGCTCAGGGGGGGCGATTAATGCGGGGGCGAAAACCGTGCATCTTTCGTGCCTCGGTAGGGCACAGAAGGTGCACCTTTCTTCACTCCCCCATTAACTAATCCCCCCCATTACGCGACGTCCGAACCAAGGCGTAGGATGGACTCGCAGACACGTGCGATTGACCTTGTCGATGGTCCTGAGCATCAACAACGCGGCAGCCAGGGGGAATGCCTTGCGAAATCGATCCTGTCTGCTCAAGCTGCCACAATCTCGAACAGCTCGAAGCATGCGATGATACGACAGCCGCTGCCACAGGAGACTGAGCGGGTTCCCAGATGGGCTCAACCGCGCTCTTTGGGAATCCTTGTCGTCTCTCTGTAGATGCGCTCGCTGACTTGGTAAAATCAACAATGCCGCGCGCTTCATGACGAAGGCTCTCAACGAGAACGTGACTATGGCCATCCTTCATGTCGCATTCGTGATGCGGAAAGGGGGTTAGCAACGGTTGGGGGTGCGAATCAGCTCACGAAGCTGGTTCCTCCAGCGCCGCCTGGCGCAAGAGAGCGCCGATGCATCGAGGCAATGGACTGGCAACGGGTCCGAATCCAGCTGCGTGCAGAAGATGCCGTGAAACACCCTCGCCCCCCGTTCCTCCGACCCGAGTGAGATAGGGGAGCTCGGACCAATTCTAGGCGTCCTGCGGAAGATGGAACGCCGCAGCATCAGGACACTGCCATTCGTCCGTCCAGCTGCCCAACCCCTGGTCGGCCAGCTCGTGCGGTGACCGGTGCAGGCCTACCTCGACGATCTTCTGATCTGCCTGAAGCCTCGAGGACTTGTGGGCACCACTGGCGCAATCAGAACATGAGTCACCCACCCGCTTCTGCCAGCGCTCTCGATCTCCTCTACAGTCGGAGCTAAGACAGAAAAGCATCCTCCAAGAACGTGAGACCCTCCGCCGGCCAAAACCCACAGAGCGTCCGAGGAAGTCTCAGGCGAGAGCCTCGTCTGGGAGCGAACCGTGAGGAGGTCTAAGGCTGGAGCCTGCGCCCCATGGGGCCCGCAACTCATGTCTTTTATCCGAGGCTCCCCAGGCCTGAATATGGAAGGAGCACCAGGCGGGAGCCTCGTCTGTGAGTGAATTGCGAGGAAGTCTCGGGCGGGAGCCGTGTCGCAGCTCATGCTTTCAATCCGAGCGGGTCGTCCTCAAACCCGTAACTGCCGCCATGAAGAGGGAGGGAGTATCAAGCGGGAGCCTCGTCTGCGAGCGAATTGCGAGGCAGTCTCAGGCGGGAGCTCCCTCGCTCAGGTTGCGCAGGTGCCAAAAAGGTCTCGCAGGCACCACCGGCCTCACAGGTTCTACAGGCCGCACGGGTCGCGCAGATTTCGCAAGCCCAACGCAGGCCCCGCAGGTGGCACAGGTCCTACGGTGCTTTCGCCTCGCGCACGAGCCCTGCAGGTCGCGCAGGCCCCGCACGGCCCACAAGTACCAAGGGGCCCGCAGGGCCCGCAGGTCCCACGGGGCCCAGGCGTCCCACGGGCCCCGCAGGGCCCCGCAGGTCCCACGGGGCCCCGCAGGCTGCAGGTCCCCAAGGGCTCCGTGGGACCCACAGGCCGAACAAGCTCCCACGTGTCCCACGGGCCCTGCGTGTCCCGCATGTCTCACACGGCCCGCAAGTGCCACGAGTCTCACAGGTCCTACAGGGCTCGCGACTCCTACAGTTCCCACGGGCCTCACAGCCCCCACAGGTCCAACAAGCACACGTGTCCCGCAGGTCCAAGAGGTCGTATTCTGGTATCCTGGCATCTTGCCATCATCACCATTGTTAATCGTCGATGATGGGGATTCGTATGCACAGTATGGAGACTCTAATGTTGGATCCTTCCGTTTTTGTTTTTGTTTTTGTTGTTGATGTTGTTGTTGCTGTTTTGTTTTTGTTTTTAAGATTTGGGCGTTCTCGCCTTTCCACTAGACGGTGCTAGAGGCCCCAAAGATCGCCCCAAGACAGCCAAAGAGGCCTCCAAGAGGGCCCCATAACAGCCCAAGAGGACCCCACAACAGCCCAAAAGGGCTGCAAGACGGCTCAAGAGGCCCCCAAGACGGCTCTAAGAACTTGCCCAGACTGGGGACTCGAACGGACACTTCGAGCCCTCGGCCCCGAGAGTCTCCCAGGAGGCCTCAAGAGGTTCCCAAGAAACCCCAAGAGACCCACAAGAGGTCCCCTGGAAGCCCGAAGAGGCCCCCAAGAGGCTCCCCAGATGCCCCCAAGAGGCTCCGAAGATGCCCCAAAATTCTTCCCCAAAGGCCCCCGAGAGCCTTCCGAAGAGACCCCAAGAAGCATCCCTGAGGACTCTGGCCCACGTCAGCGTCGCCGCCGCCGCCGTCGTTGTGTCGTCGTCGTCGTCGTCGTCGAAGACGTCGTCGTCGTCTCCCTTCAGGGTCGGCGGCGCCAGCCATAAGGGCTTCGCAACAATAGTTTTCTGCCGCTGGGAAAGATTTTGGGGAGGACGTTCCAATACTCTCACTTACGACGACGACGACGACGACGACGACGACGACGACGACGACGACGACGACGACGACGACGACGACGACGACACCCACAAGCACGCCCACATCGCCCACGACGCTGCTGCGTGATTGCCCGCCCCCAGGCAGTTCTTCACCGTCATCCTGCATGACGAGCCAGGTCAGGGGGAAGAGGGAGGGAATGAGGATGAGACGAAGAGGACGGGCCTGGCCAAATTTGTTGCCGGCGCGTGGTTGGCATTCCGCTTTGCAGGGCAAGGAGGGGCCACGTAACATAGACAGGAGCGGCCCGGCTGTGCCGCCGTGGTCGAGAAAGCGCGTGCGCTCCCCGCCACACTACTCCGTCCCGAATTCAGAACACGCATGCAGCACATTTCGGCTGTACGCGCCACGGCGCCCGCATTACAGACAGACGTGTACGAAAACACGCATGCGCACACATGGCTCCTCAAAAGGTCTCGTCGCCCTCAACCGGCGGCGGCGCCTCGCCGTCTGCCGGCGGTGGCGGCGCCTTGTCGCCCTCTACCAGCGGCGGCGCCTCGCCGTCTGCCGGCGGTGGCGGCGCCTCGCCGTCTGCTGGCGGTGGGGGCGCCTCGCCGTCTGCCGGCGGTGGGGGCGCCTCGCCGTCCGCCGGCGGTGGGGGCGCCTCGCCGTCTGCAGGCGGTGGCGGCGCCTTGTCGCCCTCTACCGGCGGCGGCGCCTCGTCGTCTGCCGGCGGTGGCGGCGCCTCGCCGTCTGCTGGCGGTGGGGGCGCCTCGCCGTCTGCCGGCGGTGGGGGCGCCTCGCCGTCTGCTGGCGGCGGGGGCGCCTCGCCGTCTGCTGGCGGTGGGGGCGCCTCGCCGTCCGCTGGCGGTGGGGGCGCCTCGCCGTCAGCTGGCGGTGTGGGCGCCTCGCCGTCCGCTGACGGCGGGGGCGCCTCGCCGTCCGCTGGCGGTGGGGGCGCCTCGTCTGGCGGCGGCGGAGGTACCTCGCCGTCGAATTGCGGCACCTCGCCGTCCGCCGGCGGCGGCGGCGCCTCGCCGTCTGCCGGCGGTGGCGGCGCCTCGCCGTCTGCTGGCGGTGGGGGCGCCTCGCCGTCCGCTGGCGGCGGGGGCGCCTCGTCGTCCGCCTGAGCTGGGGGCGCCTCGCCGTCCGCTGGCGGGGGCAAAGGCGCGCCGTCCTCTGCCGGGGGAACTTCGTGGTCAGGCGGCGGCCGCTCCCTGCGCACTCCTCCCTGTGGCGAACCGATCTGATTCGACGTCTTATCCAAGGTAGCGGTCGTTCGCCGCGAAAAGTCGTTGATGCCATCCGAATAATGGGATTTACTCGGGGCCAAATTAACTGCTGCCGGCACCCATCAACAATATTCGGCAAATTGCTGACTGCTAAAAGTCTTTAGTGTTTGTCCCCCCATTTTTCTCTGGGCGGTGAACAGGACTCGTCCTCAAACCTCCTCGTCCTCCTCGTCCTCCTTCGTCTTCGCCCTAGTCAACTAGTTTTCCCCTATTGGTGGGTGTCGTGCGCCGCGGGACGAACAATGAGTTACCCCCGCTTGGCGGGCCCCCTGGTCCAGCAAGGCCACCGGATAATAATTAGTTCCCTCCTATTGGGGGGGGTAAAACCGTCCAGGGTTTTTTTTTCCGCCGTCGCCGCCGAGGCTGTCGTCGTCGCCGTGAACCAATGTCAGGACAAGGACAATGCGAATCAAGCGAACCAGGGGGCGCGCAAATGTCACAGTCAAATTTTTTTTTTTGGGGGGGCGGCTGGATTCAAGACCTGCCGCGATTACCTCGGAGAAGACTATCTGGTGTGCGTTGTTTTCTCTGGCGGAAGTCTTTTCTTCGCGCGTTATCTCATGATGTTAGCTCGGTCGCGCGCGCGGTCGCAGCGGGCATTTTTTTGTAACAAATATAACGATGTGTATGCATGTATATATATATACATGTATATATATATATATATATATACGCACACACACCTTGTATTTATGTTCATAAATATGCCTACACACGGGAATATCTATACATATGTAAAATATGTACATATGCACATCAAGTCTATTCGTAGTGGCCGTATTCGTAATCATGTAAGTGCGAGTGCGCTATGGTGAAAACGAAATGCGAGACACACAGCGGCGCCGCAGATACGCCAGAAGTGTGGTACCATATGGGAGACGCAGTCGAATTCTTGTAAACAGACTCGTGCGACAACACTGCTACCTTGCTTTGCTCAATATCTAAATATCTCTATGTATATGTTACTAGTTGCGCGCGCGCACGAGAGCTCGCGGGCGCGCACGCACGCAAGCGCGCGCAGGAGTCCGCGTGCGAGCACGCACGCCCACGAACGCGCACGCTCGCGCACGCGCCCACGCGGACTGCCTTCGTTTTGGGGCGAGGGGTGGCCACAGCGGGGGCCAGCCAGTCCACAAGAAACCGTCCACACAAAACCCAACCCTGAGACCACAGGACGTCCATTGATTCTTGGTGCGAGAACGTCACGCTGTCCATGACAGAACCATCGAAACCCAAGAAACCCAGGGCACCCTGAAGGCAAGCAGAGTGTTTCTTGGCATGGGTCCCCACTGTACAGCGCAAGGGCTCTCACCCCTGGGCCCCGCCCCCGACCTTATTTGCACGTCCGAAGCCCCAAACGGGGTACAATTCCAACGCCACGTCTGACAAAGGAGAATGGCTCCAGCAGCAAAGCATGCCGTCAAGGCGGGTGGGCTCCAGCATCGATTTCTACCAAGGGCGGTGATCCAGCCCACGGCGTGGGCTCCAACATCCCAATTTGACGAACGGAAATCGCTCCAGCTGGTGAACGCCGTCAGGAAGGATGGGCTACAGCGCCCAATGTTTACGAGGGGCAATGGCGCTCCAGCGACCCAAAGCGTGGGCTCCAGCAGCCCAGAGCTGCTGTCAGAAAACGCAGTTGGGGCGGCGCCCCACTCCCCTGCCGAACCCTCTTACAACACTTCAGCACATTACCAGCAAAATGCTCATCTAACTGCCACTCCAAGTAAATGTTGTTGATGCTGAGCAGTTTGACCGCGTGTTGGCATATCGGAAGCGCGTGCGCACACAGACACATACACAGACACAGATCCAGACAAAGACACAGACATAGACACAGGCACACACATACACATACACACACGCACACACAGACACACACAGACACACAGAGACACACAGAGACACACAGACACACAGACACACGCACACAGACACAGACACAGACACAGACACAGACACAGACACGCACACGCACACGCACACGCACATGCACACTAGAACCACGCGCGCGCTTCGCGCGCGCTTAGGTTCTAGCTAGGAGGCGAGCTTGAGTCAACGAAAGTCGCAGGGAAGGGGGCAGGGGGAAGAAGGCCAGAGAGCGCTGAAGGATACAAATACTGGAACCCTCTTGTGATTTTGTGGGGGGCCTCGTCCGGCCGCTCGCTGGGAGTTTGACGTAGCTTCTCGGGAGCCTCTGAACCTGTCGGGGGCCTCCTGGAAGCAGGTTCGAAGCATTTTGGGGGCCGATTTGGGGCTTCTCGGGGCCTCCTTTGGGCCTCTTGGGGGTCTCCTGGGGCCTCTTGAGGGGCCTCCTTGGGGCCTCCTGGCGGCCTCTTGGGGCGGAAGGCTCGAGCTTGCGGTTCGTGGTCCCCCTCTGGGCCCCCTCTTGGGCCCGTCTTGGGGCCCTCTTGGGCCATCTTGGGCGCCTCTTGGGCCGTCTTGGGGCCCTCTTGGGCTGTCCTGGGGCCCTCTTGGAAGCTTCTTGGGCCGTCTTGGGGCGGTCTTGGAGGCCTCTTGGGCCGTCTTGGACGCGGTGAAAGCCCAAGATGCGAACATGCGAAAAATATACGTTTTCCCATAGGAATGGCACGATTTTTGTTTCTTGGACCTCTCTTGGGGTGCCTCTCGGAACGTCTTGGGCTGATTTTGGAAGCCTTTTGGCGCCTCTGGGCGGCGTTTTGGCGCCTCCTGGGATATGTTGGGCCGGAAGCTCGGAATTCGAGAGTGGCTTTCTCCTTCTGGGACCCCTCTCGAAGTCGTCTTGGGGTTCTCTTGGGCCGTCTTGGGGCCGTCCTGAGCCACTCGTGCGCAGCCTTGGAGCGCTCCCGGAGGCCTCCTAGGCCGTCTTGGAGGCCTCTTGGGCCGTCTTGGACGCGGTGAAAGCCCAAGATGCGAACATGCGAAAAATATACGTTTTCCCATAGGAATGGCACGATTTTTGTTTCTTGGACCTCTCTTGGGGTGCCTCTCGGAACGTCTTGGGGTGCTTTTGGGAGCCTTTTGGCGCCTCTTGGCGGCATTTTGGCGCCTCCTGGAGCCTCTTGGGCCGGAAGCTCGGAATTCGAGGTTGGCTTTCTCCGTCTGGGACCCCTCTCGAACTCGTCTTGGGGCTCTCTTCGGCCGTCTTGGGGCCGTCCTGGGCCACTCGTGCGCAGCCTTGGAGCGCTCCCGGAGGCCTCGTAGACCGTCTTGGGCGCCTCTTGGGCCGTCTTGGACGCGGTGAAAGCCCAAGAGGCGAACATGCGAAAAATATACGTTTTCCCATAGGAATGGCACGATTTTTGCTTCTTGGGCCTCTCTTGGGCTGCCTCTCGGAGCGTCTTGGAGGCTTCTGGGACCTGTTTGGTGTCATGACAGGCGTCTTGGAAGGCATCTGGAGCCAGCGGAGCGCGTTCCGAAGCCGCCTGCGAACGATCTTGGACGGCGTCCGGCGGTCCGACGAGCCTCCGGGCCCCCCGGGGCCCACATTTGTGGTCGGGGTCCCGGCCCCGGGTCCCCGGACCCGGTGCGCCGTTATATGTATATAAGCTTAATAAGAAAACACGGCATCCTGAACTCGCTGCTTCTTTGTCAATCCATCCGCCCGCGACGATCCCGTAGTACATGTCGTCTGTGAGCTGGCGGTAAAGCTTGATAGCGTGCGCGAATGTGTCACCATCGTTAATGTGCTGATGACGGACATCATCTTTGCAGACAAGAATGGGGGACTGTTTGAGCTCTCCCCAGATATTTCGAGCACTCTTTTATCCCAAGCTCGGATCACGCTGTTTGTCTAGTAGCAGTAGAACTAACTAGGTTTACCAACGCCGATGTCACAATCCACCTTTCCACCGCTGCCCATGCGTCTCGAATATGGATAATCTCGTCGACGTCGTATGACACGTTCGACAACGAAGCAGGAAAAGGAAGTTCCTGAACACAATCGCGCATACTACAAGCTACAATTTCTTGTTCCTACTACGATCGCTGATCTAACAATACCGCTGCTTTTGCGATCGCCAGTGTTACGCGATTGTACCCGACCGACAGCCTTTGAAGAACCCGAAACGCAAACGGAGGCCCACGTTGGTGCGGAAGCAGACGGGGGGAGTCGTGGCAAAATTGGAGTGGTGTTCCCGCGTTTTGTACCGAATACAGCCCCAACGGGCAAGCCAGAAAGGCGCCATGATGTAGGCCAGAAAGCTTCACAATCGCACAACCCGCCACCATGCCACTGGGCGCGGAGTGGGCGTGTCATCGGGTCCTTTGCCCACTCCCTTGAGCCTGTCCTCAGTCCTGAGGGGTCGAATAGAGGCCCAGACCCCGAACTTCAACGTTTTCTTGGCATTGGCGCGTGCCCCCTGGGGTTTGTCGCGGCCTTTCGCGTGACTTCTTCCCGTCCACGAAGACCCCAAGACGGGCCAAGAGGGCCCCAAGATGCCTCCACGACGGCCCAAGAGACCTCCAAGAGGCCCCCCGAGAGCACCCCAAGAGGCATGTTGCTTGGCTGGGCGTTTGAAGGATTTGGGCATTCTCGCCCTTTCGGCTTCCCGATGCACACAGGCGGTCCTAGAGAACCCCAAGACCGCCCCAGGACGGCCCAAGAGGCCTCCAAGAGGGCTCCAACACGGCCGAAGAAGGCCACAAGAAAACCCAAGAGGCGCCCCAAGACGGCCCGACAAGGGGCTTCAAAGAGGGGGCACAAAGCGAAAATCCGAGCCCCCGCCCCAAGAGCCCCCCAGGGTCCCAAGAGGAGCCCACCAGGCCCCAAGAGGCCCCCAACAGGCCCCAACCCAAGAGGCCCCAAAGAGGCCCCCAAACGGCTCCAAGAGGCGTGCAAACTGCCTCCGTTAGGCCCCCGAGAAGCCTCCCACGAGACTCCAACGAACATCCAACAGGCTTC